CAGGCAGGAGAAGGACCGCGCTCCGGGCGACTTCGTGGGCTTCTCCAAGCTCGGCCTCCCGGGTGGCAGCGCGCCGATGGCGCCTGGGCACATCACACCCCCAAGCCCTGATCAACAACTAACAGTTAGCTAACATGTGTATGTGCATAGAATATATTATAATATAGTAAGCCCCAAAAAGTTGGAAACCGGATTAAGGACAAATAGTGCTGGGATTCCTTGTACATTACTCTTAGGGATTGAGGCTATAGGGTTTCCAACTTTTGGGCTTCTACTGTATACTACAGTATAATATAATATAATGCAATATAATATAATTTCATAATACACTATAGCATAACGAGGGCCACGATCATGCTCTTTCGATTTGCTCTGGCCCGACCATGCCTGTCCGGACAGAGGCTACAGATCCCATAAGTGGCGTGTTAGTACACCCACGAGGTGGATTCCGGAAAACCCTAGTTGAGAGATTATCATATTTGTCTGATCTTCTAGCTCCCCTGCAGGCTATTGAACCATGTGCACACCCCGATGTTCAGGACGATGTTGTTCCCGACAGTCTGGCAACACTCTACGCGTCGATACCAAATCCCACACCCTAAACGAACTGCGGACAGAAAAAACGAGTCCAACCAAAAGAGCTTTCTCATTCTGAGGATCCGGCAGCCAACCAGCGATCTTTGGAGGCAGAGATCAACAACGGCCGACTGGTTCCTTGCCCAGTTGGTTCCCCATGTGAAGTATGCCGGCAGGGCAGAAGATCGTGATTATGCTGAGGATGCTGACAAGCCAGGTTTCTGCTTGTCTGCGCAAGCCGAGATATGGTGTTGCAGGGTTTGCTGCCAAGTGGAATGTAGATTCAACTCATCAGCGTCAATGAGCCACGGGAAGTTGTGAACCCCAAGCTCCCGAAACACCTGCCAAGATACCAGATTGAAAGATGTGAGTTCCGATCATACCTTATCACTGTGCAGCATCAGCAAGCAAGCATGCTGCCAACAAGGATAGACATCGTACTGACCAGACCTATGTCAGCCACATCGAAATCACCGTTTCTGGAACAACTATTCTCGATCTTGTCGTTGCCATCAGTCTTGGTATTGCTACCTTTGTTGTTGCTGATGTGATTGTTTGTCGTCATCATCACCATCACCAAATGTGGGGTCATTTCGCTACGCCATCATCTTCATCGTGATTCTTGCAATCGTCGTGTCTAGATCACGAAAATACACCTCCTCCGCCAAACCCCCTACCACCCCACCCCCCCTCGCCACCGGCTTCTAAGGCGATGGTGGCCATCACCGGCATGGTAGCCCAGAGCCCTGGCACAGATTCTGAGCTCTTGCTCTTCGGGGCATCTGAGTCGGAGACAGACCTCAAAAATTAACAACGGTAACAATAAGAGTTGCAGCTGGAAAAGCACTACTAGTAAACATATATACATATATATATATGATATATATATATATTATATTTATGTGTTTATTCATGTATATTGCTTGAAGCCTCAACCTCCCAAGCTTCTGCCTTCCAACCTTTCATCTGATGGCGGTCGGAATAAAGAGAAATGTGGTTGATGCCCTACATCCAGCATCACTTTGAAACTTTCCCGCGCAGTTCCCCGGCCACCCTGGCTACCCCGAATTTCAATGTTGCCTTGACCCAGAAACCATAAACAAGGGTCTGTGCAAATGCCAAAAATCCTGCATGACCCCATGGGGCTGCAACATTGAATAAGGTAATATCACCGAACGCCTTCTGGGTAGTTCTCTAAAATAGGGGTCCCTTTTAGGTCCCCCAAATAGTACGGCACCCGTTAACAGGATCCTAAAGGGACCCTAATTTCGAAAACTACCCTTATTCTAAGCGTTAAGGTCATTAAGGTCCCTCTTGGCTGCTGATTGCCCAGCGGCCTGTAGCAGCGTTTAGGGGTTTAGAAGATGTTTATGGATCATGGCACGCAAGGCCTAGAATCGCTGAGCCGTAAAATCCTGCATTCCACAGAGGAATGCGTTCTTCGGTACCACCGGCCCGGCCATGTGGCTTCCTGCCTCTGCTTTTGAAGGCCATCATAGTGGGGGGTGGGGGTTGAGGGTTCAGGTCTTCGAGACTCCAAAGAAGAGGTTTAGCGGGGTTTAGGGTTTCAGAAGGGGACGCCGTTGACGCCTGTTTGTTCTTTACAGGTTGTGTTCCAGTGAAGGCCAATATCCAAATATTGAGTTTCTTTAATATTTTACTGTTGGCCTCCCTTGGATCCAAGATCCAAGATTGCAGAAACAAGTTTCTTGGATCCATTTTGGATCCGGCTGGCCCAATATTAAAATATGAAGCTTTTGCAAATATGGTAACATTGGTGTGCGGCCCTTGGAGCGGATCCAAGCAACTTATTTCTGCAATCTTGGATCTTGGATCCAGGGGCTCAACATCAAGATATGAGAGAAAGACCTAAGGTGTTACTATTGTGTCTGTCTGGCACATAGTGGAAATCTCAATGGAATTTAAGGGGCTGCGCCCAGAGTCGGGCAACGCAGGCAATTCATTCATTCATGCATTCCTTAATTGATTCATTCATTCACTGGTTCATTCGTTCATTCATTCATTCAATCAACTCATCAATCAATGAATCATTCAATCAATCAATCGTTCAATCATTCAATCATTCGTTCATTAAATCATTCATCCATTCACTCATTCATTGGGCGGGGGGCAGGGNNNGTGGCCAGCATCATTGCGCGCGCGCGTGCGCGGGAGCCACCTTTGAGTCCAATGAGCATCATCAGCATCATTGCGCGCGCACGGGCACCAATTTGAAGCCTTCCGGTACCCTTCCCGACCTCCGAAAACATCGGCTTGCGCTTGCCTGATGGGCCGCTGCGCGCGGGGTGCTCATGATGCTCGCCGCGTGCCGCCCAGGTGTCGCCCGCCGGTGCCCCAAAACACGCCATACCATGAGGAATGGCCGCAAAACTTGCGCGTAGCCGGGTAAGCCTCCCAACCAGCTCCCGCGCGGCCGATGGAGAAACGAGGGTCCCCGGGCTGGGTCGGCGGCACTGGCTTCCGACCCATAGCTAAAGCTAGGGCCATGGCNNATGGCCTGCGGCAGCAACCCCAGGGCGTCGCCCGATTCCACATCTCCACATGTGCCGAGACCAAGGCCCGAGAGCTCAACATTGGGGCCCCTGCCAATGTGGAGATGTGGAATTCCATTGGGCTTTACATATCCCCACATCTGTTGATCTTAAATGCTTGAGAGATCGAGATAATAGGGTTTTCAAAGTGTATATACAATAGTCTACTATACCATACCAGACTATAGTGGGTGCCTCTGTTATACTGTTCGAAACTATGCAACAATGTACTATCCTATACTATACTGAGGTGGTGCTAGACTAGGCTATGTTTGAATATAGTAAGCTAAACAACAGTATACCAAGCCCCGTGGTATTTTACTGTAGTACAATTTATTAGACTTTACTTTAGGGTAGTCGACAATGTACTGTACAATACTTGGCCACAAGTCCTACAGCCGAAGATCGGGGCCGCTGCAGGCAAGGGATTCAGGTAAAGCAGGAAAGTGGATTGGATCGAACCAACAATCACAACTTCCGACGCACTCGACACGGCCACATCTGAGACCTTGAACTACAACGTACCCCACAGCATGCTCTCCAATGACGTCCCTGCGGTCACCACTATCATGCTGTCCTACTCAAACCGTAAGCCTCAAATGCGACAGGGGAGCTCGGCGTGCAAGCGCCCGTGGGCTTTTGGGACCCTCTTGGGCTGTCGGCAGATGGGGACGCCTGGGCACCCAGGGGGTTTTAGTCTACGAAGGAGTGACATGTTCTTATTTTCGGGTTTCTGAATCTCTTTTCCCCAAAACTCTAGTCGACTTCTCGCTTGCTTAGAGGACCTGTCGCAGACACAAATCGGGGTTCTGCAGTTTGGAGGTAGCAAGGGGAGATTAGTACCGTCATTTTTCGTATCAAGGGAGCGAGCGTTCATGCTGCAGCCTTCCGCTTTGTAGCCAGTTTGGGATGAATGGCCAATGCGGCTTGGTTGGAACCCCGGAATGAACACTGAGACGTCGCCGTAGTCGTGGTCGTGATGGTGCTGGTGCTGGTAGTCATGAGTAAGACTATTGCGATCATATGGTATGTTGAGAGGTCGACACCTTCAAGCGCCGCAGGGCAGCCGAGCTGAAGCATGGCCGGATCTGCGCGAAGCCCAGCCGTGGGAGGGCGGGAACGGAGACAGATTTTATTTGGGGTTCGAGCGTTTAAGGTTTTAGGGGTTTTGCGGATTTCTTGCTGAAATACGGCATGTACGCTTGAAGATTAAAGAGAAAGTGTTTGGGAGCGAGGAGGACGATATTATCCTGAAATGCCATGACAAAGCGACAAGGCTGCTTCCACAGGAATTGCGACATTGCTTGAGTCGCCCAAAGAGAGATTATGCTGTGATGCAGCTGATAGCAGCTGCCGTGCTACATCTTGCAAGGAAGAAGGTGTAGAACTTAAACGGTAGTCAATTGCATCTAAACTCGCTGTTTCGATGGCTTTGTGGCATGCGCAGTTTCCCTGCTGGCAACTGCTTCTGAGGTATGTTGGCCTGCGTTGCTTGCTCGCACCTTCAGGGGCCTCAGCACAGAAGCTTCGCGCAGACAAATGTCTGCATTGTTGGAATGCTCCATGCATCCTCGTCACACTCCTTCTGGACGGACACTGAAGGTCGGATACATCGTGCCGGAGTACTTCCGCTGGCCCGGTTTCCTTTCACCAGAGAAGGGTCTCAAGTTCGCTGACATGCCTCACGGCATCGCTGCCATCTCCAAGGCCGAGCTCGGAGGGAGCAGGAGAGTTTTGTCTTTTTTCATCATCTGGGGTGTGTCGTGCTGGTGGTCGTGGTCATAGACGCCATAGCCACAGTTCAAGAAGACACAGGTAGTACATTGTGCACCTGGGCTGTTTTGCACATGGCAGTTCGAGCATGACGAAGCCTACGTGACTGCAAATCGGAATTCGGGTGAGCAGAAACTACAAATCTTCTCGAATACAAGGGCGTCTATACAGTGTGAAGGTTCTACTCCCCAACACACAAAGCCGTCAAATCTGAGACGACAGGTCCCCCTGGAGGGCTGGCTGCAGATCGTCCTGTTCGTCGGCCACTACGAGGGCTACTTCTGGCGCCAGGATCCCAAGCGCGCCCCGGGTGACTACGAAGGCTGCGGGGACCCCTGCCGTGCAAACCCTCCTTGGGAGTATGATCGTTTTTGCTTTGAGCATGAGTATGACTGTTGTCGTCATTGCTGCATCGCTCATGGCTCATTTAATTATAGTCACCATGTTGCTATCGATCATGGTTATATATATATATAATATAATATAATATACACATATATATACAGTACATATACCCGTACAAGAAGCTAAACCTTGCTAGCTCTGAAGAGGCTACGGCTTCCTGGGTGTGGGCAAGAACTTCATCGTCAATGTCGACCCCATCGAGTTCCAGGACGCCGAGGCAATAGAGTTCAGGGCTTCGGCGCTTGGGGGGGTTTTAAGCGTTTAAGGTTTTAGGGAGGTAGTGTTTTACCGGTGTTAGTTAGTTAGTTCAAGGGTCTGGTCAGGGTTTGGATTGGAGTTTGCAATGTCCATCCTTGGATGTGGGAGGCCATGTTGGAAAACGCACACTACCCCGGAAGCTAGTTGTAGTTTGGCCGCCATCACTGCGAGATCCCGTAAATCGTTTGTGGCAGGTGAAGAAAACCAAGCTTTCCGCCGAGATTGCGAATGGACGATTGGCTCCTGGACTCCACCTCTTTGAGGTAATGTGCTGTGTTGAGATGGTGAAGCCCTAGATCCGTGTACATGCATCTGCGGAAGCGAAATGGCCCTCTGCAAAGCACCCCACAACCTTAGCCCTCCCGATCCAGACACAGGGGCAACGGTCCTCTTCGGAAATAGACTTGTGCAACACAGAGATATAATAGCAGAACAACTTTTTATAGACACAAGAAGCATGCATGATGATTATTGTGTCAACACGACTAGTGAGTTGCAATTGGCGATGATAGCGACCTTGGGAGGCAGAATTATAATCGTGATCACGACGTATGGTAGTACAGCAATGAAATTTAGTACACGATGCAATGCAACACTACAGTATACTGCGATACAGCATCTGGAGACTGCTTGCGACTGAATGCGATGACCTGAAGCAGCAGCAGGGAAGAACATTGACAGTGTTTCCTGGGCGCGACTCCACCCGCATTGTAAGACATACAGCACGGGAAAGGAGCACAGCTCAGCAAACTGGTTGACCACAGCAGCACCAGCAACTTACCAACTTGCCAAAATCCTCGTACAGTTGGAGCAGGAGGCAAGCGAAGCTGAAGGAGGATCTGGCCTTGGAATCAGCAGAACCCGGACCAGAAGTAGAAGCACAAGATGTAGCACAGCTGACGATGCAACATAGGCGCAGAGCAGCAACCTGATTAATCAAAGAAGCCCCAGAAAATCACTAAGCGACCGCGTTGCGCCGGACAGAGTCAATCGTGAGTACCAGGTGTTGAAAACGTTGGTGTCGGATTGCTTAGCAACAGCTTCCCTGTTTCCATGATGCTTTTGCATATACCCCCACCCCCTCACCCGAAATCAACAGAGTCTGGTTGTTCAGGCCTCTTTCTTACCGCCACCCTGAAGCCCGAAACCCCAAACCCTTTATCCACTACAGTCGCTACAGGCGATGGTGGCCCTGATGGCAATGCTTTTTCAGAACGGCACTGTGGGCTCCACCGGCCCTGCTCCTTGGAGCTTATGCATGGTCTCTGATTCGCTTTAGGTAGGCTTGTATGGCTTGAGGTTTGGGGTCAGTTTTGTCAGATGACTGAAATGACAAGGAGCTAGCTTCAGACGCGGAGTTCGAGGTCGTTAGGTGTCCGGCAGAGCCTGAAGTTAGAAGCGACTGCGGTTTTGCGGTTGTAGTAACCTTTATACTACCCCGAAGGGGGGAAACCCCTTGTAGCAAGCTGTATCGTTGAATCCCTGACCGAGGCCATGTGGCTGCCCGCAGCGTGAGTTGCCTGAGCCCGGACGTTTGGAGGTAGACGCCCAGCCTCTCCTGGCGGTCCTGGGAAAAAGGATGATCGCACCTGTCACAGAAGCTTGGCATTGCAAAGGGGGGTTTTGCGAAGCACGTGGGACAAGGACGAAGATACCGACTCGCGTCATCGAGTGAAAGGGCTTCAGGGGTGAAGATAGAAGCCTACACTACACGATTCCCACTACTCGTATCATTCCTCAGAGTTCCTTGTTAGAACTATGCATATTATGTGAACTCAAGGCCGCGTTTTAGTTCTTAGAGGCCCTCCCAAGAGATCGGATCGAACTTCGAAACTTTGCATTTTTCGCGCCCAAGCTGCTTCCCAAACTCATGGCATTGTGGGTTGGTAAAGACTGATAGCGCCGCTGGCTCAGATTCCATCGACTTCAATTTCTTGTGCCAGAATCCTGGCTTGTCAGCAACAATGTGCTCACTAAGTGCCCTTGCAGCGACATGCAGCTCCTGTGGTTCCTGGTTGTCTCTCACTTGGAGACCAGATATCTCGAAGATGCATGTTGTGCATGTCCCGCGCTTGTTGACAGACTAGGCTGCGCAAGCATGCGGAGGCGCTGCGAATGCCCTGGATGCAAGCAACGGCCACTTCTAGTTGGACAACATTCTCGCGACAACAGGCGCTTCTCAGCTCCCCAAGGGAAAGCTCTGTGGCGATACGCAAATTTCAACGAAGCAGTTCGCTTCACATCTGACAGCAACAATGCTTACTGTCAAGATGACGGCTTGCAGGCGTGCCCCCATCTTGCAACGGCAAGCTAGGGGCGACAACTCTTTTCGACAGCGCAGCTTGTTTTGGCGAGGCGTGCTTCAACGTCATGTCTGAAGATGCTTTTCCCTGACTTACGGTTTTTTGCCTGCTGGCAAAACAAGCTCGGTCTTTGCCACACCCCTTTCCACCGCGCAACTCGACGAACATCAATGAGGCGCCTGAGGCTCAAAATATTTACCCGAACGTTTTGCTTGCCTTCCCTCCGATGGTACAGCGTACCCGCGCCTGTTGTTTCGGGAGTTCCCGGAAGATGACCTAAATTAGACAAGCGAAGCTATCTGCGGCCACTTCGGCCATGCAAAAGACGAGGGATTGGCTTTAACATTTCTGCCCGGACGTTCTCGTCCCAATCCGCATTTCAGGCGGCTGGTGGCAGAAACGCGCGACTGCAGGGACTGAAGGCGGGAAGGCTTCAAGAAGGACAGAACCTGACACGACTGCAAGCTGCAGGGGCCACAGGAACCTGGGACTGTGTCGACGTTTGAAGGGTAAGCTCTTTCTGTGTACGTATGAGACGCGAACCGGGGCAAAGATGCCGAATGTCCAGGTGTTAGTTTAGTTGTGAGTTTGAGCATACAGTGGATGCAACCAAACCAGATCAGATCGCTTGAAAAGGCGCAAGTCCACAGATGTCAGGCGGCTTGCCTTTCCGACATCCGCATCTGTGTCCACGCTGGACGCACTCGCGAGTTCGCCTGTTTCTGTAGCCGTGTAGCGAAGTCAAGTTGTGCGATGGCGACCGTCCGAGTTGGCGATGAAGACTTGGTAGGCCCGGCATGCCGCAGGGCAGGCTTTGGCGTGTTGGGGCGTGGCGTTGCGCAGTTATTAAACGTGACTGCGACTTTCTATCTCGCGCGAAGGTCTTCTGTATAGTTGTATGTGCACAGCTGTCCAGCAGTCCGATGGTGATTGTGCGGTTCGAGCTGGGCTTTGTATGGACAGCTTGTGCAGCCAATTGTCTTCGCGAGATTGTAGAGGGTCTCCTGCGACCAGGACGTTTGCGATCTGCAACAGCAGCCTTCATACCTGCAGCCCCCTGGAGCCAGCGTTTGTGCGGCGTCTCACCTGTCACTGCCAAACCTTGAGTATGCCACATGCCACACTGTGCACACTCTGTGCATCGCTGCCGCTGGCCTCCGGTCCGTCGGAAGTAGCTTCTGGCTCCGCAGCCACCCTCAAGAGATTGTACATTGACTTGGTCTTCGGTTGTACCATTGGGCTGAGATGTAATGCCGTGTTTCTATGAGTTTCGTTATGTCATTTTCCAGACGGACCTTTTCCCGAAACACGGGTCACGCAGCATCGGCGCATAATCCCTGCGCGAGGCCCCACAGGCAGCCGCATCAACTTGCCTTTGGCCCAGAAGGCGACGAAGCATGCAGTTTTTCGCGTGGCACATTTGTCTGCGAAGTGACAACTCTTTGCTCCCACTTCCTCAACCGATCGACCTCGAAGTTCTTCACAAGTCGACCGACTAAACGTTTGCATGTTCCGTCGGCATTTAGGCACGGGTAGTGAGTTCAAAAATTTGAGTTTTCCAACAGCCCTAACCCCGAGTTTGCTTAGATTTTTTTGTGGTCAGTCTGCGAGAGCCGATTGGGAAACGGTCGGTCCTCTAGATCTCGGAGAAAACTCCTCTGCAAGAAATGCGGGATGCATCGACTCAGGACTTGAACCGATTTGCGTTCCGGCAGGGATCCATGCTGAGTGTTTGAAAGCTTTCGTTGTCATACATACGTTTTGCAGGGTCGGGTCGGCTTTCTGTTTCGTCTGTTAAAAACAATGTCCGATCCTTCGCTGCACCTTTAATTCGAACCCGCAGGAAGAAACTCCGTCCTCAGCCGTTGCCGAGATGTCGCCGGCTTCCCGAGAAGAGGCGTTCAAGAAATGTTTAAAAAACGTTTTTTCCTTGCTCATGCGCCGAAGATCTGTGGCTTGGAAGGAATGCAAGGGTAGCTCCGGAAACACAGTAGAGCCTAAAAGTGCTGGGCTTTCTGGCTGCAAAAATGCAAAATTAAACCCTAAACCATGTGCCCCACCATGCAAATACTACACCACGGGAGGACCCGGATGCTAGAAAATGCTAGATTCCGGCCACTGCCTGACGTCAATGCTAGAAAATGTTAGACAATGCTCGATAATGCTAGACAATGCCAGAAAATGCTAGAAAATGCCAGAATGGTTCTAGCACCTTGGTTGCTGAATGCAGGAAATATCTGGCAGCGTGGTTTGCTGAATGCAGGATGTAGGAAAATCTAGCTTTATTTAGCTTGCGTGCTCGTGTGCCGGCTGTGAAGAAAACGGCTTGCACCGTTCCTGGGCAACGAAGTGTGGCCCACCCTTCTTAGGGGATAAGATTAATCTTTGCCAGCAACACCACCGCAGCGACTATCTGCTAACAAAAACACCGCGGAAGCTGGTGGGTGTAAGATGTGTAAGTCTCCGGCAAAACAACCCTGACGGTTGCACAACACAGACTCTACCACCGGGCGGTCCCAGCAAGCGAGAACAAACCCCGCTCCACCGCGCATTTGTTCTTAGCACCAGCTCGTTGCATTTTGTTAGGAACATCTCATGCCCCCGGGTTGGGCTTTGCCGCGGCATCGCCTCAGCAAGACCCGTGTCATCGCTGCTGAGGTTGGCCCGGCCCCGCCTGAGATCGTGGAGCTCAGCGACGATGTGTGGTGTGGAGAAAACTCTGACCCCCAGCGATCTGTGGAGCACCCGGCCTGTCTGCAGCCATGTGCTGAGGAGGGGTTGCGCACGGAATTTGCGGAGCTCGGCGACCTTCCCATCCGTGTGAAAGGGGGGGCCAGGGTCGCATCGCAGCAACACATGTTTCCGTGGGCGGGCACCTATACACCACGACGTTAAGGCGCCTATGACTAGACGCAGCGACTCAGGACCACGAGTTGCTTTACAGATGCGGATTTGGTTGGGGGGCACATGATGTACATGTGTGGATCCAGTTGAACGGCGTTCTGCAAGCTACTGATCTCGGGCCGACGGGATTGCGCCACCCAGTGCTAGGGCCATCACGTTCCCGGAATTTGACAAAGTACCCACCAACTGGCGCCATGGCCCGGATTTAGTCAGCAAACGAAAGCAAAGACTTCCTCCCCGTACGGACAGGACACGACTACATGACAATGCATGAATTACACAGCAATGGGCCGGACCGCAATGCCAAACCGCCCAGCGCCCCCAGCAGAGCGGCCAAAAGGAGTGCAGGGAGGGCGTCGTCGTCGCCCATTCCCGCTAACTAGCATTGTTTGCAGTCTCGCCCAGATGGTGTCGTCGTGTCAAAGGCATGCGGGGTATACTGTTCGTGCTCTTGTAAGAGACTCCATGCCCAACCCGCATCGGCCACGGGGCCAGTTGAAACTCGCCCCAACAAGCAGTTCCCACCATCTCGATGTGTTTGAGGATGCTTGGGAGCAACGCTCCGGAGGCATGCCAGGCCTCGAACGTGCTCTTGCCCGTATTTGCCGTAGGGCAAGCACAGGGGAGAGCAAAAAGGTGCGCCGAGAAAGGTCGCCTGTTGAATGGGTTTGCATGGAAACCCCAAAGGACGCACGCGTCTGAACGGAGAGCCCCGAGCCATGCTCAGATGGCTCCGCGAAGCACTTCGCTGTGCCCTCCCACCATCGCCACACACCCAGCGCTCTTCGGCCACAAGCTGGAAATTTGCCATGTCATCGCTGGGTGAAGCGTGTTTTGGAGTGGTACCCCGAAAGAGTCATGCCGAAAAACAACCCAGTGGCCTAGTATTTGGGAGCCAAAAGGTGATCGCAGCTGCTCTGGATGGGGCGGGGGCAGCATTGGCCCTGGGTCGTGCGAGGCCGCTGAGTTTGTCAGACTGCTTGCCCGGAGCTGCACAGCGGGCGGCGTGCACTGCCGCCTTTGTGTTACGCTGGTCTGCGCTCCTGGCCGCCGCTCGGACCTTTGCCGCCAGCCTCCTTTCCCTTCCCTTGTCCGGCACCGCCAACGTCGATGGTGACATGCCGCTTCTCAGCGACGTCCTCGCTGACTCAGCCGAGCAGCCCCCCCTCACCAGTCGCATGCCGTAGGCCGTAGGCTGTTGCCTGGGCTTTGGGCATGAGCACTGGGACCGCGGAGTGGACGGACGCAAAAGAGGTGTGGAGGAAAAAACAGACGACGGATGCGCCGCGGAGGCACCAAAGCAGTGCGACGGACGCGCAATGGGCGGACGCCCGAAGTGCGTCCGTCGCGCGTCTGTCTCGCATCCGCCGCACGAGCGTCGTCTGTCCGTCGCGCACCCGCCGTCCATCCGTCATAAGGCTTATTTGGGCCTTTCCCGTCGCCGTGGCGTTGCCCTTTGTCGTCAACTGCCGAAGGCAATGGCGTCAGCTTTTTGCCTAGTGACTAACACATACCTTTAGAACTTAGATAATTCGTTCTGTAGAACTTTGTGAAAAGTATTTAGACCTTTTTGCAACTGACCAGCGGTGTCCAGAGCGTTTTCTGTCTCGTCAGCTCAAAGAGATTGGGCACGGGCTGCCGGAGGTGGTTTTTTCAATCGACAATCGTGGTTTAGTCGCCGGTCCTGAGGTTTACAATCAAGCTGCAATGTACTTGCAACAGAGGGGCGCTGATCCCGAAAGTACAGAGCAAGGCTGCTTGAGACTCCAAGCTACGTCACTGTGATGGGAAAGTGATCAAGATCCTTGCAGTCCAGGACTTCATTGAGGCGGCCACAATGCTGTCGCAAGCATCCCTGATGTTTGCAATGTTTGCGGTTGTGGACTTGCACAAGCAAGGTTGGACAGGAACTACCAACCACATCAAAACGTCTGCCGTCAATATGGGTGCTAACATCCGTGGGAATAAACTGTGAAAGACCACGCTTCAAACACTGACGCTGAAATTCCTTTTCAAGTCTCACTGTCTCACAGCTGGATTCAAGTCACCCATGAGGATTATGACAGCGTCAGTGTCAAATTTCGCTCGTACTTCATCGCATTGTGCCCAAATGCCCCGCGCAAGTGCACTCCCCTCTTCCTCCGAGATGTTACCTTTAGGAGGCAAGGTAAACCCAGCCACGATGACACTATCTAGGACACGAACCAGGATACCCTGCTTGTCCAAGACCACTCCGAACACCACAAAACCTCCTCGTCTGTATCATGAGGAGCAAACCCCACCACTGCATCATAATGCTTGGACCTGGGCCCCGATCCGTCCAGATATCTACAAGCAACCCCAACCAGAAAGTCAGATTCCAAGCTTGTGGCCACCACAGCAACATCCCTCCATCGGTCGAGCGCTAGAATCTTTGCAGCAGGATCCGCCCCGCCACTGTACCCCAAATTGAGGCATGTGATATTGAAAGGTTGAGGGCCCAGATTTTTATCAGCATCCACCGACGCGTGACAAACATCCCCAACATGTTTTGCCATAGGAGGGCCTGCATAGGCGGAAGCCGTACATCCCAGGCTGTCACAGTTCCTACGACCGTGTTTTTCATTCACAAGTCGCTGCGCCTCCTTCTTCGCCAAGCTCAGCTGCTGATCAAGTACACGAACAGCTGCAGCCAACCCCGGTTGGAGGAAGGAAAGCTCCGAATTTGACCAACACCACTGCTTGCGAAGTGCATCTATGTCTTGTATCACACTGTGGCCCAAACCTTTTAAGGGTTTGCCAACAGCAAAGACTGGGGCAATCCAGGAGCGATCAAGGGACAATGACTGCAAAAACGGCTGCTCTTCAGTAATTCTGCATTCTTGCGCAAAGGATTCTCTTGCGGACAACAAGGAAGGATGAAATGAAGGCGCCACCCCTACTGGATCAACCTTGAACAGCCTCTGGAAAGCTGCCAGTACGGAGCCGCCGAATGAAAAATCTGAGGCTCAGCGCTGCCGTCTCGGGCGCGGGGGCCTTCAGACCATAACCAAAACTCAAAGGACGATTCCCTTGAAACACGGATGGATCCGGAACCCGGCGAACACCCATGTCTTGCATGAGCACCCTCTCCACTTCATCCAGACACGAAATGTCTGCCGTGCTGTCTGTTGCTTTAATCCTGCCAGACGCCCAAATCTGAACCATAGCACCATTCCGCAGGAAAAGCGGCCGAGGAATGGCTTTATTCTCTGGTACATTTCGCACACCCACAGCAGATTCAAGGACATCCCAAACCCCCTGTTTCCCATGTGGGCAGAAAACCACTTCTTCAGGAAGCATGAGAATTTGGCCTCGGATCCTCTCCTGACGCTCTTGCCTCGCAGTTGCTTCACATGAGAACTGGCCCATACGGAGCTTGCAGGCTTTGCCAGCCTTCCCAGTGAATTCATGCTGACTCGTTTGACCCTTGGCATACTTCGGCAGAAGCGCTCGCAATCTGGGCTTGAAAACTTCCACAACTGATGCCGTTCCATCAATACGGATACGACCGTCATCAGTGAGCCACCAATTGAGCGCAGGGCCATCTGGCGAAATTCTGACTGACGTGACATACTCTGTACCCTCTGCTCCTTTTGCATTGATACGGTGTTGCCAAGCAGTGTCAATGCAGAGCTCTTGAACGATTACTGGCGGACTGAGCTTCGCCAACATGTGGAAGAAATCCCACATTCTGCCTTCATCAGTCTCTGCACTAGATGCGAACTCGAACTCTTGCACATCAGGACCTGAAACGGGACCAGATTTGTCCATCAAGGACTGTTGGAAGAGCACCGTGGGATCCACGGGCGGCTTCGGGGTCGGCGCTACTCCTGCCTTGCTTCGTGCTTAACGGACTGGGGCCTGTGCGCTAACAGCCCGATCACCACTCCCAACCTGCCTGGAGACTCTGGGAATTGCAGGCGGGGGAACCAAGGAGCGAGACCGACCTCGGCTGCGTTTTCTACTCCTGCTACCGCCAGAGGCAATCCTGAGCCTTTGATTGTTGGATTTGTGCTTTGCGGCTCTCTCCGGAAATCCAGCTTGGCAAGAGACACATCTGGCATCGTAAGTGTGATCACGGCCTTGGTCACACTTTCAACTCTGGCATGCTCAGTGAACTTCATAGCTTTATGTTTCCACAGTCGACGGGTCAAATGCGCAAACTCTGCACGCACAGCCTCCTGTGAGCCTCTGCGTTGTTCTAACACTCTCTTGACGCGATCAGGAAACTCATGGAGCACATTTATTGTAATTGTGGGGTTCAGACCAAGTCATTGACATGCTGCCGCACAATTCTCCGACATGAGCTGAGAAGCAACCTAATACAACTAGAACAGGAAACAACTTCGACTTGAGCCAAAATGCTTACGATCTTCTAAAAAATCAAAAAGACAAAAAGGTACATACAAGTTCAAGTGCCACTGGGGAACTCCATGCTAGGAAACATCATCTCCACGTCTCTGTTGCCGGGCATCACAGTGTGCGACTCAGCGGTTTAACCCACGGCTTTTGGGTTCTGGATGTTTGATTGGGTCCCTCTCGCACCTGTTCATCGCTTGTTTCGATTGTCTTGAAACAATTCCCTGCTACAAAAGCCCTGCAACACTCAACCTTGAGGGTCCCTGGGGTATTCGACCCTGAATCCTGTCCGAAGTTTACCACGAGGAGACCAGCAGGAGACCACCAAGAAAGCACGGGGAATGATCAGGAGACTTTCAGGACACTGCAGACAAAATGCCACCTCACATGTACTAGCGGGATTATAGACACGGCCACCCCCATGTCTCAACAGGACTCAGAGACACGACCAACATGCTTCCCCGATGTACTGCAGTTCATACATCTTGAGGCCAAGATGAGGCCAAATGCATTGGAATTTGCAGCGGATCGTGCTTTCCGGAGGATACGGTGTAAATCATGGGACTCGAGTGCAAACTAGGCACCGCGCCATAGTAGGAGCTTGATGAACTAAGCAAGAAAACACCCAAACGCAAGAAGCCCGCTGCCCAAGCACTTTGCTTTGCTGGCCAAAGCTGCCCAATGGGCACATGTTCGGACGATCGCCACGCCTTGGCAGCGGAGCTCAGGCTGAGTAACTTGGAGTGGCGCTTACAAACATCAGACATCAAAGGCGCGAAAACAGTGCCCCGAGTTTGAGAACCAGCAGAACGTGTTAATTCGCAAAACCTCATCTCGTCGCAGACCTGAAGCTTGCGAAACCCGGAACCATTCCCTGTCGCAAAACTCAGAATTTTGGAGTTCAAAGGTCAACTAGGAAAGGAGAGCCTTTACGTATGTACGTACATACAAAGGTGTGCACGCTTACGTGTGTACATGTACATGCAAGCATAAAAGTATATGTGGTGCTCCGTTTATGTAAACGAATAGGTGCAGCTTTTGCAGAGAAGTGTCTTTATTTATATGCATATATACGTAGAATGTAGAACCTTTCTGGTCTGTTTGACGGTCGCGTCTCTTTCAATATTGAATTTTTTTGTTTTTAACATGTAATTTTAGAAATGTGTAATTTGTCCTTAGGGAGAGAAGATTTCGGCACCGATTCAAAATTTAGCAATTCAAAAATGCCTTCATAGGAAAAATTAAAATGTATAGAATTGTAAATTTGTCCTTGGATTATTTTAGTAAGGACATTTTCCAAGTTTTCATTTCGAGTTAAAATTTACCAATTTCTTAACATTTTTTGAAATTAAAAATTTCCAAATATTCAAAACTGAAGTTTCTTTACGAAAAGTGTCATGAGACTTATGTAAATCTGTAATGTTTACATCTGCGCTCGGTTTGGGATCCGAGGATTTCGGGACCGATTTAACAATATTTAACATTCAAATCATTCAAAATCAAATTTTAACTATTCTTTCCTGATTAAAAAGTTTGTTAGATTTTTTCTTTTTGAACCCCAGTCTCGGTTCGGGAGACGAGGACCGGCTTAAGATTTAGAAGTTTACAAATTTTCATTACTATAAAACTCTTAAGTTTATGAATATTGAAAATTTAACATGTTTAAATTCTAGGAAGCTTTCAAAATGTCACTATTTTAAATCGGTGCGTAATATCCGTTTCCCAAACCGAGGACAGATTTGAAATTTGAAATTTAACTTTTGTCGTTAAGCAAAAAGTGTAAACTTTTCATTTTCAATATTCAAAATTTTTGAAATTACAAAGAGAGAAATGTCAAAATTTTTAATCGGTCCCGTAATCTCCGTCTCCCGAACCGAGGACAGGTTTAAAAAATCAAGAAGTAAGAATTTCTTATTAAAACGTTCTCTTAATTTTTGAATTTTAAATCCCAGTCTCGGTTTGGGAGACGAGGATTTCCGGTATCGAGGATCAATGTTAAAAATATTCCATATCTGAATTTTGATAAATTTTAAATCAGTCCCGAAAACTCCGTATCCCAAACCGAGACTGGGATCTAAAGTTTAAACAGTTAAGATTTTTTTGATTAAAACAAATAATTTTCTAATTTTGAATGCCTAAAATTTGCTAGTTTAAAAAAATGTTCAACATCTGTAGATTTTAAATTGGTGCCGAAGTCCCCGTATCCCAAACCGAGGACAGATTTAAAATTCAATAAATTTGATAATAATTTAAAATGTTTTCCTTATTAACAGACATTAAATTGTTAAATGTGTAAATGTTTAGAATGTTTGGAGGCCCCGCCCTTCTCCCTACCCCTCACTGCAACCGGACGACCCCTGCCTGACCTGCCCCAGGGCCCCAGCCAGTGGGGCTGGTATATAGCCCTGCCAATCAGCCCGCAGCCTAGCTCCAGGCCCCCTTCTCCCTAAACCCACCAGCCCATCCCCAGCAGCCCATTACATCCGGCTCTCCACATCGACAGCCGAGAATTTAAAGAATTTAATGTGTTTAAATGTTTGCTGTCTTTAAATTTTCAATTCCGGGCTACTTAAGAATATTTAGAATTTACCGAATTGTAAACATTTCAATGTTACCCTCCAGCCCAGACTTAGCCTCCAGCCATCAGCCCAGCCCCTGCTTCGCCCCCAGATAGCCCCAAGCCCGCTGGCCCTGCCCAGGCCCACCCAACTCACAGCCAGCCCCCCAGCAGACCGGGGGGTTCGATAGCATCAAATTTTCTGAAAGGAAGTCCTTCAGAAACTCTGGTGCTATCGAACCGCTGTATTTTCCGGCAATGATGAGGACAGCGAAGTGCGGTTCGATAGCACAAAATATCCTGAAGGGATTCCTTTCACACAATTTGGTTCCGAACCGCCCTTCGCTGTCCTCATTGTCGGAAATCGCAGGGGCTCGATAACATGAAATGCTCTCAAACGACACTCTTCCGGAAATTTGGTGCTATCGAACTGCCCCTCGCAGCTGGGTTATCTGTTGCAAACACTGACAGCAAACAGGGGCGGTTCGACAGCACTAATTTTTCCCCAAAAGTGCCGTTTCAGGAAAGTTGGTGTTCTCGAACCACTGCGCTTTCCGACAATGAGGACAGCGACAGCCGGTTCGATAGCACCAAATTGTCTGAAAGGTTTCCTTCAGAAAATTTGGTGTTATCGACCCGTCCATCGTTGCTGAGCTATGCAATGCAAATACTGACAACAGACAGGGGCAGCTCGATGGCACCACATTTTCTGAAAGACCCTTCAGACAATTTGGCGCTATCGAACCGCTGCGTTTTCCGACAATGAGGACAGCGAAGCACGGTTCGATAGCACCAAACTTTCTGACGGGTCTGTTTTCAGAAAATTTGGTGCTATCGAACCGCCCTTCGCTGTTGGGTTTTCCATTGCAAACACTGACAACAAACAGCGGCGGCTCGATAGCAAAATTGATTCAGGAAAGTAGTGTTCCGACAATGGGGACAGCGGCGGGAAGTTCTTTCGCACCAAATTTTCGGAAGGGTCTCCTTTCAGAAAGCGTGGTGCTATCGAACCGCCATTCGCTGCTGTGTTGTCCATGGCGGGCGGCCTTTAAATAGAGCATAAAGGTTCAACCCACACATACATATACATACATATATATATATATATAATGGAACCGTATGAAGTTTGTCCCCATGAGGGGGATTGTTGCGCCTTTGGAAAGACACATTAACTTCGAATCTACCGCTTGCCACACGAAACAGGCTTCTTATTGTAAAAGTTGATGCTATGTTTTTCGATGTACAGATGTGAAGTGCTTAAAACTGGGGCGTTGGCAACGCTAGCCGGTGTTTCGCCCTGTTGAGGATTCGATGCGGTAAGTCATAGAGTGAAAGTATTACTACGAAACATACCCAAAGTACCACGCCTGTCACACGAAACAGGGTTTAACATGGGACTGAGGATGTACTGAAACAACTCGTCGTGTGAGATGATCATAGGACATGAAATGATAGAACATGACATGATACATGATGCGTGATATGTCCTGAGATGACAAGGTCTAAGTTTGCACATAGAGTCGATTTACTACATATGTAAACAGATAATACAAAAAAATAGAAGCATGACAACACGTTCCATACAGGCAAGATGACTATTTCTCATCTGAGCAAGTTCATCCCATGCGGTTAGGCATACACTTTCCATACAGGCAAAGCAAGTTCATCCGATGCGGTTAACTGCGATAGGCACATCTGACGAAGTTGATCCGATGCAGATTTCTCAACGGTTATGGAAAAGTCGTTGTCAACCAATAGGAATTTGCCAATGTTTTTTACCAGGATTCGAAGATGTCAACTTTCCATAGAGGCAAGATGAGTATTTCTCATCTGAGCAAGTTCATTCGATGCGGTTAACTGCGATAGGCACATCTGACGAAGTTGATCCGATGTTGAAAAGTCGTTGTCAACAAATATGAATTTGCTGATGTTTTCACCGTATTTCTCATCTGAGCAAGTTCATCCGATGCGGTTAGCTGTGAAACAATTAACGCTAAACAAAGAACGTTATTATCCCCCCCCCACCCCCCATCCCACCAACACCCCCATTCGCAAAAGCAAGCCAAAAAGTAGGCGCAGTAATCCCCGCATGTACAAGTTTGTGTATGCATGTGTGTGACTCTGTCTGTACATGAAAACTTTTACACGTTTGTACATGCATATGTATCTGCACATGTACAGTGTATGCGTATATGCATGTGCATGCATGTTACTCTAAGTTTACATATGTGTGAAGCTTATGCCAGAGAGGACATATGCACATGCAAGCGTTGTGGACATGTTTATGTTGACGTCTATGCTTATGTCTGCATGTTTGCATGTATGCTTGTATTTGCAAGATGATTGGGTGTAAAGCAGTACAACCAAAGCTTAGAGCGGCAGGGGAGGCAACAACGTGTGACGTCCTCAATGTAACAAACACGCTGTTAAGGGTCTCTAGAAGCTTTTAGGAGTTCAGTGTTGGGGTTTAGACTTGCTCAACATTTGGGAGATTTAGGGTGTCGTCCCTCACAACTGGGATATGTCGAGCAAGGTGTGTGAGCGACGGAAAGCATGTGCCAGTTGTGAGCGATCGCCATAGCGTTTACGATTTCCGCTTTAAGCGTGCTGAAACGTCGGTTTTGTCTTGACGTTAGGCAGGGCGTAGGTAATTTAAGGTTTCTAGACGAGTCTAGTCACTGATACTACTGGTTTGTTCTACTGGTTCGTTGTACTGAACTGCAACATGCAGAAGCGCCCAACACCGCCAGAAGCGCCCAACATTGCAAAATACACCACTAAATCGAAAACCCTTATTGCATCACAACAGATCTGGCAAGCATAAGGCTTGAAGCCGCCATGGACTACCTTCATTACTACAGTAGCAGGAATAGTCGGGTGTGGCCCAGGTGTGCTATCTAGGCTGATGGCAAAATCCCAAGCACCTCAGCTGCATTGCGATCCGCCACTTCGCCTTGCCATGCTGTGAGTGGATACTCGTCGCCAGACTTCGAGCACCCCGTAACTAGACTTGAGCCACGTCAAGTCCCCTAGGCTCAGAAAAAGGCTTTTTCAACATCACGGTTGATGCAGAAGGAAAGCATTGTGGCTGACATCGAATCAAGAGCTCTTACTAAACCGATTGGATTCTGTGATCAACTATTTAGACAAGACTGCAGGCCCATAGTCTCGAGATATGCCAAAGCTTAGACTCGTGGACCCGTGGAACGAGACGCCTCGCCCCAAAGCGGGGTGCTGCGCTTGCCAGCGGCCCGTCCGGCCGCAAATTGCGTGCGCAGCCAGGGATAAGTGGCCTCTTCGGTCAAGGAAGCACAGAATGTACGGTTTAGGCTTAGTGATTTTACATGGGTTTAGGGTGTACGGAAGGCACCGTCGGGCTTTATTGTTTAAGGTGCAGGCTATGGTTCCTGTCCACAGGACTACATGTATTGATATGTTCTACTGAAACACATGCATGTGCATGTAAGACCTACATATGCATGTACATGTACACGTATACATATACATGTATATATATATATACATAGCGGCTTGGGCCTAGTGATTGTGTATAAGCTTCAGTTGTACGGATCATGTGAAGATGGTCGGGTTGTGATGTAACACATAAGAATGCTGTAAACAATGTTGATACAATATGTCATTGGATCATACAAGGCCTCATTTGATGCAAGCAAAAAACGTCTTTATCAATACATGGGAGATGGCACAATATAACATAACATAGAACAACATAGCACAACAAAATATGACATAACACAACATAAAACAACATAATGTAGCATAGTGTAGCATAAAACAAGTTTACAACCATGTACTGTAATACACGATACTGCAGGACAACAGCTTGCATCACGTCATACAACATTCTATTTCACTACAACTATCGTATTGTAGTATTTGGCACTATGTTAGGTTATGCTTGTCACAAAAATACCCTGTTAAAATCAAGCTGTGTTTTATTGCTGCACTATGCTTTCCCATCTTAGTGTACTCTACCAAACTGTATTTTTCTACATTCACGCGACAAGATTAGCTCAAGAGCAAGAAAAATTAGGTCAAGGTTTCGCCCCTTGTATTCGGCAAGACCAGGCAGGGATTCCGAGTGTCGTGATCATGCCACTGAGTGCAACACTTGCACGACTTCTGCTAAATCAACAACAAAGACCATACCGATTTCTTCGCAGTTGTGGCAGTGGCAGATCTCGGTGCCTTGTTGCACCGCATATACATGATTTGTGCCTTATGGCCGACATCGTCAAATCTGTCCGTCGCAGTTTGACACAAGCCAGACGAGCTGCGTGGCAAGGAAACTAGTAACCCTATTCGGCCCTATTCATGTGGCGATGACAGACTCTGGCGCCGGAGGTCTGCGTGCACAAGGCACATGTGCAAGTGTTCCAGGTGATGAATTCGAAGCAGACCACCGTTGCAACAACATGCGGGTAGCAGCCACTGAAACAGAAACAAGTCAAGCGAGCGAAGCCCAAAGCGTGGCCTTTGCTGGAAAAAAACACATGCTGAATGACGAATGATCAGCCTTGTTGCAAATAACCCCTGAAGCCGAATTCACAGTTATGTCCGGGGCCATGCCGCAGGCCCCGCCTGCACCCTGAAAATAAGGGAGTTGAAGCTCATTGCCTTTGCGACAGGAGCCGGGCCGACATCGGGATGGATTGATATTTCGCCGACACTGTTGCTGTCTTGTGCGGGCACTGTTGTGAAACTTGTCAAACAGAGGCACTGGCCAAGGGCGAGTTTTGCCAGAAACAGGGAAGCTGCCAAAAACTGCAACAAGTTCATCCATGCTTCCGCGACTCGAGATGCTCACATCAACACGTCCGTCCGGCACCTCGGACCTGACCATCGCGGCTCAAAACACCGCTTCTTGCTGGAAAGAGGCCGGCTGGAATGCCCACCAACACTCTAAACTTCCCACTAACGGGAAGGGTCAAAACGCAGCAAGCCTGAAAACTGTCGGATGTCGAGCACAATTGGCGACAAACTACTGCATGAACATTCTTGACCGTCTCCGGCTTTGCTGTGCTGAGCACGTGTGCAAACAGTATTGTGGGAGCACATGGCAGAATCCTCGCAGCAATCGTTCGACGGTAGTTACCGGTAGTTTAGGGTTTCGGATTAGATGGATGAAGTGCAGAACCTACAAGGAATTTTGCTGCTTCAGTCGAGTCCAGCATAGTCCAGCACATATAATGCGCTGAACGCCACATTCTGGCGTAAGCTCCGCTCCGCAGAGGTTCTACCTTGATAGATAGAGAGAAGCTGATGGCTAAAGGTTGTACATGCGGGTCGCACTGTGATTCATCACCGTGCCACTTGAGACCACCTGTGCTAAGAACGACGTGCTTCTCATCGAAATAATGCCGAGGATGTCATGGAACACCTGGGGGTGATTCAAGCTCAAGCTCTGACACGCAGTATATATGGGCTGCGAGTTGGCAGTTTCCAGTTCTGCACTGCGCTGGGCGAGTTCCTGGATGATGCTCACCACGAGACGCCGCGTGGTGATTTGACTGGCGCAGGGGAAAGCTGCCAGCGAGACGAAAGCCGAGATGAGGACTTGGACCTTCCAGGAAGCGGCCCTTCGAGGCATCATAACGCATGCTGCGGCATCCACCAACTCCTCGATGCTGCCACGCATGCCTGCCGCCTTTACTGGCTCCCTCTTGCAAAGCTCAGCAAAACCCCACAACATGTTGGTGACCTCGTAAGATTGGCAGTCGGCCAGAGACCGGGATGCCACTCTCGCAAGTACCGCCATCAAGGATGGCACGAAAAACCGCAAAACAGCACATGACCAAATGATTATCGTGCAGCAACTGCTTGGCATGCTGCTGTCCTGTAACTGGAACTCTTGCTGGGCCTTGCACTCCGCAATTTCCAACATGAGCTGGAAGACTTCATCCTGGGCGACCTGGTCGATGTTCCGCTGCGATCCGTCGCAAATGCGCGCAAGCCGATGGATTGCTGTGGCCACGTTCACGCCATTCATCAGGTGCAAGTTGGCCGCGGCAACCCGCAAGACCATGTTGATGCATTCGGCCTTTTTGGACCGAGCAGCGCTGGTGAGAGCCTTGTTGATGCGCCGTTGCACTGCAAGGTCATCACCGCTGCTCAACAGCTTCGGAAGAGGACCCTCTCGCCGGTCGGAGACTTGCTCGCCTTCGTCCGGCAATTGCAGCTCCTGGCCAATCGGAACCCCAGAACGCGGCTCTTGCGTCCAGTCAAATACATTTTGCGGAACGTGCTGGCACGGCGCGGTCATCTGTCGGCGGAACGCCTGATCCGTGTCTGTGTGGCGACGAAAGTTTGGCATGCAAACCGGAACATCTGGCACGACTATGGGTTGAGTCTCGGACTCACGTCCCAGGATATGGTCTGAAGGCTCAATGTGATAACCATCCGTGTGGGCGCGAGCTGCCACAGAACCATGCCGAAGCTGATCCGGGAAGTACGAACTTCCGGTGGGTTCAGTGAGAGATCGAGGTGTGAGAAGACCCGCGCCCGGCATCATCTGGTTGATACCGGAAGAAGGTCCTGAAGCCACTTGTCGATTATCTATAAACCAATGTCTGGATCGGGGTGGTTCGTTGCCCGTGACTGCAGGTCTCTGGTGCTGCGGTTGGAAAGGAAACAGCGGATTTGGCGCATCCATTGGTTGAAGGCGACTCAGCTCCTGGCTAGGGGCCTCCTGACCGTCTCCTATAGAATTTAAGTCTACACTCTCAGGCTGGGCGAGCCAGGCATTCACGACCGCTTTCTAGAAGCTACGAAACGCTCTGCTGCAGCCCCGATGGAACAGAACGCGGACCCCAGTTCAACGATAGAAGAGGATCACAGCTCTTCCGCACTCAAGCAGGTCAACGCAAGTCTCTCGCAAAAGAGTGAAGCTCATATTCTTGGTCCAGGCCTGAAAAAGCCACAACCACCTCCGTAAATCTGAAAGCTCCACACAAACCAAAAAGGCGGTCCCAGACTATACCCCACATCCCCGCTCCAAGTACTAAGCCCCGCTTCCTACATCCTTAACAAGCTGAAACACAAAAGGGTGCAGCCGACGCCTCGAACGTCACTAGGCGGCTGTCTCTGGGACACCTTACTTCCATGGTTGAGGATTTCAGGCTTCGGCGACATCGGAGTTAGGAGTTGGGTTTCGTGCGCCTACCTGACTTTCGAGGACAACTGGCACGCCTGCTGGAGATCAGTTACAACCAAAATGTCTGAATACCGAAGTTCAGCCCGAACCCTGAACATGAAGGTTTGGTTTTGTAAGGATGGCCAGGCACTTCAGAGAATACACGGCGTGCTCGTTGGGCTCCGGGCGAAGCGAGATGGCGGCACCGGTTAGCATCCTAGGGCTCGGACTTCTTGTTGATGAGTTGCTATCATTGGTAATATGATCAGTGTGGATGTATTGTCACTATCAAACTTTCGAGGTGAGGACTTGTGCGTAAAGGCATTCAGGGGTGAAAGGGTGTAGAGCCGGGCTTCAGGATGGCTTTTGGAGGATTTGGCTTAGGATTTCAGGGTGAGGGCTTGTAGCCTAGTGCTTCGGGGCGCTCGGACGCTCTAATTTCGAGCTTCAAGGCTTCAGGTTTACACCCTCATTCTGCGAATTTCCAGGCGAAGCTTCTCAGTTTCGGCAAGGCTGAATAGACGTAGCAGCTGTAGCTTAGGATTGCCTGCGCCTCTTGATCCTCAACCTCTCCAAGCACTCTCTGAGCGGACGCCAGGCATCGGCTCGTCGATACCCGCCGTGCGCTTCTTTCCTGACAGGTTTTACTAACGTGCCAACATGTGAGCGTGAGCATGAGAACTCTTCGCCACGTCTTACTGTAACTTATGTCTCGACCACATCCTACTGCATCTACTGAGGCTACACGGCTAGCATGGGCTACCATAATATCGTTGCCTGGCCTGCCTATTAACATCGTCCTTGTTTTGAGTGCTGCAGGACCTTGGGATCCACTGGGCAGGGTTTGAACATTAAGGTATGCAAACCGGACTGTGCCAAGCGCATCGTTGGAGGTCTTGGGATTTCGGGTCCCCGCGCTGCCTCAACAGCCAAACCCTAAACAGCAGCGTCGTCCAAAATCTCCGGACCTCACAGACTGCAGACCCGACCCCCAAACTCGTGAAAGGTTGCTTGTCCGGCCGCGGGGCGGGTTCGGAAGGCGCCGTTGATTTGAAACCTCCGGATCAGGCATTACCAGGTAAACTGAATGTCTAAGGCTATGGGGGTCATGTGGATATTTTGCCTTTCCTACCAGGCATGGGATGGCATCAGAATGGGCTCAGGCTAGAATGGGCTTTTTTTTCTGGTGTGCTTTAAGCCTGGGGCCTGGGACAGAGGAGACGTTTGGGGAGGGAAGACCTTAAAAAGCTTAAAAACACATATATGGGCTGCGCGATTACGAGAGAAGATTCATCTCCATCAGGCAGCTCGACCCATTCGGAAACGTTGAATGAAAACCGCAAGTCCCCCGACCATGACATCCGACACAACAGGAGAAAGAAGTCCAGGAGGGATCGCCACCCGGGCTCCACACTTTCCCAGGATCCCAGCGCAAAGAGCTGTTCCCCGACCTCTTTCAGCAATGCACTCATGGAACTCAGAAACATCAGCCAAATGCCCCGGCACTGCAAAGAAATTTGTAGTAGTTACGGGTTGCATCTCCCCTTTTCTCTGTAACAATGGATGGGCACCTCTTGCACAAATATCGGCACAAAAAAGTGCGAGCTCACAACGCTATAATCCTAGAAATCAGAATGAAAGCAGATGGCCCGGAGCAACCCAAGACCTCACAGAGTCGACCATAGCTAAATCTCGCCCTGAAAGCCCGAATCATTAATCCGACACTGAACTCTGTGTTCAAACCCTAAAAACTCCTCAAGCCCCAAGCCGTGAACAACAAACAAAAACAGACCCTAAAGGCCCTAAACCCAGAATCCCAAAAGCCCCAAGTCTTGAATCCCCAAATTCCGGACGCCTTGCCATCCTCACGGGAAGCTCTTTCACCGCGTCGGGTGAGACAGCCAGGTCTCCGACAGCTACGCCGCCTGGGGCTTGGGGTCTGGGACTTGCGGGGAAACAACTGTAGGGCTGTAGGTTGTATGATCATTCGCATCTTTTAGGATATCGGTCAAGGATTTTCAGGCTATGGTTTTGCCTCCCGCTTGGCAAACGAGCCGTATTGTAAGTGAGAATTTGGGGTGTATGGTGTCGGATAAGCTTGATGTTCGGCGGCTCCGGGTTTACTGTCGTCCCTTGTCCTCCCAAGTTGAAGGGCTCACCGTGGATACGTGCGGCAAAAACATAGTTGGTACCATGTCATACGCGAGGGGACATTATGGAAAAATACTCCAAACTAATGAAATAATCACGACGACCATGACGGACGCTCCTTACCACCGAATGCTCCATCCCTTGCCTGGAACTTTTCAACAATCCCGAATGGAATGCGAATTTTTTGTCCGTCAGAACTAGAATCTAGAAGGCTCGATCTGTCTAAGCTGCCAGGGCCCGTACACATCCAAGTGCCCAATACTGAAACCGAGAAACCCAGTCCCCTGCGCGGCCTTTCAGGCAGCCAAACCTGCAGAGGATGAGATTTTGGGCAACTTAGGGCTCCGCAAAATGGCCGCTTAAAGCCCCCAAGGCCAAATCAGCACAAACACAGACCATGTCTGCACTTGGCGGCAGTCAGCTGCTGGTTGGGTAAGGTTTACCGTTCTTGTCGGGTCGTGCTGCGGGGAACAAAAGACAGCCAGGACGTCATCCCAGGAACGCTTCAGGGCAAGGCCTTGAGGCTTTGAGCTTCTTGCTTTTTCCTGAAGCAGTTTACTTTTCTGGTTCCCGGGGTTTCGTACTTTGGGTGGTCATCTCCCATTATCTCCACTCGCTTGGGACTGGTGGGGGTGGCCAACGCCGCGGCTTTTAACACTTGTCTGCCCTTGTCTCCCCCTGTTCTCCCCTGGGAGTTGGTCAATGCTCTCCAGGTATTGCTATGGTTTGGCTTCTACTGTTTGGGGGTTTGGCGGTGTAATAAGGTTCGGAACGAAGAATGCCAATCGCTCGGCGAAAACAACTACTAAGCATACAAGGGCTCTGAATGCCGCAAAAATTTAGAATACTTAGCCACCTATCACATCTTTACAAAGACCCGATGACGCTTAAGGCGAGCTGCCAGTCGTCCACCGCGCCCGTGTTGTGCGAGGCAGTTTTCCAGCTCGGCCGCTCGGAGCAAACGTAGGCACAACCATATTTTACGGCTGCTGCCTGAGAAGCTGTTATACAAAAGGGAACTGGGGCGGTGCACTGCTAGCATCTCTTAACAAGAAGCAGCAGTTGGGAACCAGCCATGCAATCTGACCGCAGACAGTGAAATCAGGATTGTTTCGAGATGGACTGAAAAGGAGTGCTTTAGGCAACAGGCTCAACCCTTAGCTCAATTTTTGCGAGTCTTCAGCACTGGCAACCCCAGGTGGTCTTGGTGCTTCCGGCAGAAGAACCTATCATACTATTGCAATATGACACATGAAAAGAACAAACGTAAGAGTGTATGCAGAATAGCTGGAAAGGTGCTGGAGGATATTTTGCACTGCACATGCAAAAATGTTTGTACCAGAAACATACTACCAATTATTCAAGCTCCCCCAAAAGCTTGCCTCCTAGTTGTACTGGTAGTGATAGTGCTACTGGGAGGAGGAGCAGCAGCCGCAGCCGCAGAAGCAGTGGCAGCAGTGCCAGCCGCAGCGTGGTGGTGGTGGTGGTGGAAGTAGTGGTCGTCGTCTTAGTAGCAGTAGCAGCAGCAGCATCGGTAGCGGCAGCGGTAGCGGTACAGGTAGCGGTGGTGGTAGTGGTTGTGGTTGTGGTTGTGCTTGTGCTTGTGTTGTGGTCGCGGTAATTTCCGTGGTCGCGGTAGTGATAGTGGTTAGTGGTAGGGGTAGTGAGGGGAATAGTAGTAGTAGTAGCAGTAGTAGTAGTAGTAGTAGGAGTAGCAGCAGTAGCAGTATCAGTAGCAGCAGCAGCGGCAGCAGCAGCGGCAGCAGCAATTAAAGCAGCAGCAGTTGTTGTTGCAGTAGTAGTCGTCGTCGCGGTGGTCCGGTGGTGGTGGTTTTAGAACCAACAATATCAGCAAAAGTAGGAGCAGCAGCTAAAGTAGCACAAATGCTGGTACTAATACGGGTGGCAGTAGTACTACTGGTTGTTTTCGTAGTAGCAATAGTGGTAGTGGTCGTGGTCGTGGTACTGGCAATGGAAGTGGAAGTGGCGACGGCGGTGGCGGTGGCAGGTGGTATACGGTATGCATGGCAATAACACTCGTAGTAGTCGTCGTCGTAGTTTTTGCCACCCAGCTGAGTAGGAAGCAGTAGTTGTGCTAGTAGTAGTAGTAGTAGTACTACTACTACTACTACTACTACTACTAGAAAAAATAGTAGTAATAGTACTAGTATTAATAGTACTAGTAGCAATAATAATAATAACAACAATAGTAGAAGTCATAATAATAATAATAGTAGTCGTCGTCGTGGTGGTGGTAGCAGTAATTGTTGTGGTAGTGGTAGTAGTAGTAGTACTAGCAGCAGTAGTAATAGTCATAGCAAGAGTAATAGTAGCAGTAGCAGTAGCAGTAGTACTACTAACTAGCGGTACTGGTAGTACTAAATAGGTCTAATAGTACGAGTAGTACCAATGGCACTAACAATACCAGCAATACCTGTGATACCAAGAGTACTGGTACTAGTAATATTAAACTGGATATTGACTGAAAGTTCTAGTACTAGTAGTGTTAACTAGTAACGGCACTAGTACTAGCACCAATACTAACAGTAGTTGTTATGGTAGTAGCAACAGTAGTCGCAGTAGTGGTAATACTAGCAGCAGCAGTAGCAGTAGTAGTAGCAGCAGCAGCAGCGGCGGTAGTAGTAGTAGTAGTAGTAGTAGTCGTCGTCGTAGTAATAATATTAGTAGTAGTAGTAGTAGTAGTAGTAGTCGTGGTAGTAGTAGTAGTGGTAGTAGTAGTAGTGGTAGTGGTGGTAGTAGCAGAAGTAGCAGTAGCAGTAGCAGTATCAGTTGCAGTAGTAGTAGTAGTAGTAGTAGTAGTGGTAGTGGTGGTAGTGGTGGTAGTGGTGGTAGTGGTGGTAGTGGTGGTAGTGGTGGTAGTGGTGGTAGTGGTGGTAGTCTGGTAGTGGTAGTGGTAGTGGTCGTGGTCGTGGTCGTGGTCGTGGTCGTGGTCGTGATCGTGGTCGCGGTCGTGGTCGTGGTAGTGGTAGTGAAAATGGTAGTAGTAGTAGTAGTAACAGCAGTAGTGATGGCGGTAGTGGTGGTAGTGGTAATGGTCGTGGTAGCGGCAGCTACAAGAATAATGCAAGTCAACAGTTAGTAGTTGGTAGTTGGTAGCTAATAGTAGCTGGTAAGTAGTAGATAGTAGTTTGTAGATTATGGCTTGTAGCTAGTAGTTGGACCGTGACCCGTGCACGCCATTTTGTTTTGCTTCACTTTTCCGCGGCTCGACTCGGTATTTGCGAAGTTTCTCTTGTCTGGAACACTTCGGATTTTCAGGGCTTTTTCAGGATTTCAGGCGGTCGCCAATTTCTGCTGTTCTGCTTGTGCGGCAGGCGGATGGGTGGGTCGGGGTTGCGGGGGATAGTTAGGCCCTGAGGAATTATGGTTACATGCTCCTTAAACCCTGTGGTTCGCAGCCAAAGACATGTTCGGATATTCTGCGGTTTAGGGCTTGCGATAAGCTCGATGCGATGCGTTGAAGGCATTGCCGTGCGGTGGCGTCTGGTTTCGAGCATTGCCTTGGTGGTTCTGCTCCGCCTGACTGGTTGCCAAGCTCCGACTGGACTTGAGTGACTTGAGACATGACATGGTGGTCCGCGGAGATCCACGCTGCAACCATTTCCAGCCGCAAATCAATCCGTGCGCTCAAATCAAAGCTTCAACGAGCAGGGAAGCAGATTCCCCAAGTTGTTGACATCAAATATCAGATTCATGGAATCCTGCGCAAAGGCGGACCGGCCATTATGGCCATCCTTCCCTTGCCTGTGACAGTGCCTGGTACTGGTAGCCGCCCACCGACAGAGTCGTTGGAAGGGATTGAAGCAACCGTTCTGTTGCAGCACGTGCCGGTGCGCAACCGATCATCTTCCGTCGTTTCAGACGGTAATCGAGAATGCCCTCTGAGGCACCGCCCGGCAAATCATCAATGGACACAATACATCCCAGCGAGTTGAAACAGCACTGGTCGCGGCATGGCCTTCCCAGAACAATAGCCTTAAGACGGGAATGCATATGGAAATGTTCCGATATACTAAATTAATTATTTACGCTTGAAATACGAATAAAATACGAATCACTATGTTTGCCAAAATACGAACCGGTTGCAAATAATTAGTTAAAAAAAGTAGAAAAAATAGGAAAAAAATAGGCTCCAAAAAAAGGAAAAATAGGAAACAAAAATAGAACAACGGAAAAATAGCACAAACACTAGGTAAAATACGGAAAAAAAAGGAAAAATAGGAGAAAATAGGATTTCCTTTTTATTATTTTCCTATTTTTCCTGCATCTGCTGCCAAAGCAGGATTTCCTATGTTTGTTTTTCATATTTTTCCTAGAAAAACAGGAAAAGAGGGAAAAAAAACTGGAAAATATTCGGAAAATCCTATTTGTTATTATTTTCCTATTATTTTCCTATTGTTTCCCTATGTTTCTGCTATCTGCTGCCAAAGCAGGATTTCCTATTTTTCCTAGAAAAATAGGAAAAAATAGGAAACTAGTGACAATTCCTATTTTTTCCGCCACCCGGATCCTATTTTTTTGTATTCGTAATTTGGATTCGCATTTTTCCTATTTTTGGCGTATTTAAACTTGGCCAGCCTTTCCATGTCATTCCCGTCTTAACAATAGCCCCTGCCATTCCTTGCCCTGGAGGCTCCAACATATCCTCATTCTGCAGAGCCATGTCTTCATCTGATGGTTCAATGGCCATAACGTCTGCATCAGCAACCTTGGCATCTGGAGCATCCTCACTGGAATGATTGAAAAACAACTGCATGACAATCAACTCCATGTATCCATGATAGAACATGCAGCAACCCTGCATGCAATACGCTTTGCCATGAGGCTATCTGAGCGAGGGCCGTGTCCACCAACTCACTGATGGAGGTCTCCACGTCTAGGATTGACAGATGCGAACACACACACCACGCAGAGTCTGGTTGTAGAATTGCCTCGCGAGACGCAGACCGAAACCAAACCGACCAGGTAGAATGCAAAGAACACCCCGACCCGAAACGAGGACAGCCAAAGTGCTTCGCAAGAGGTCCTGCGGCACATCCAGCAGGATCGTGAGGTCATCATCATCCACACCATCATCGGGAATCTCATAAACCTCATGATTTCCTGAACCAGCCTGCTGGGGAGGTTCCCAGGCCACGCATCTTTTTTCCCCGAACGAGTTCGCGTCGGATCCTTCATCTTCTTTATCAGCTTTGCGCTGCTTTGGTCTGTCTTTGCCTGGATTCTTCTTCATGACTTGGAGCAGTCTTTCTGCAACCTTCCCAAGGGGTATAAGAAGTATATATGTGAGACTGCATGCATTCATACATACACAAATTGCCCAACCTCTGCTTTGGTTCCCCTGTCCACAGCCTTCCTCTTGTATTGGCGACTGAAGGACAACAGGTCGATCGGCGTGTACGATTCCTTAACTCCACATCTGTTGTTTGCATAGATATGTTTGTACTGAAGCAAACAAGTCACGGAAATGGCAAGTAAGCATGCAGGCAACAATCATCAAGTTGCCATCCTTTGGTCTCTTTCTTGTTCATAACCTTGCGAAAGCCATGACTGGTTCCTCATCCAGCTTCTCAAATACCTTCATGAAGAAAGGAGCATGGAAATCGCCTGCATGCACACTGATATGCTGAGCAGACCAGCATCTTTTGAACATCACAGTGACAGAAAGCAGCATATGCTCCATGCACATCGAGCCACCAATTGGGCACTGCTCGAAAAGCACACGGGTCAGGTCCAGACAGTTTTGCAAATCCCCCAATTTTATATTCCCTGGGTCTCGGATGTCGAGAAACAAGGTCTTATCTGGACCTTTCCTTTCACAACATTTCAACAAAGCTTGCACAGAAAGACCTCACACTCAACCGCTACATACTCATTTTGTGCTACCAAGATACCAGCAACACCATCCTCCTCTCCACGAAAATATTCCATGGCGGAGCGAATGATCAAATGGCAGCAAGCCAGCTTTCAAGTCAGGAAAAGTTGTTCAAAGGCCCACTCCGCAGAACTGCATGGTGATGAAAGCTAAGGCGAATGTGATGTTTCATGGAAGTGCTTCCTGATGTAGAGGACGCCATCCTATACACATCCATGGGCATGGAGACCATGCACAATCCAATACGTCACAGCACCATGGAGGCTGCCACACAGATGCGTCATTCACACATGTGAGCGGGCCTCGGAAAATGCGGTGTCGAGGCGGCATGCCATCCAAAGGTCTGCACTAAAACTTTCAAGGCACCATAAGCGGCAAAATCTACATGAAGTGTACTGATGCACAACTGTATGCAAGGATCATGCTTATATGCAACAGAATACCGAATCATGTAATTTACAATTATAAGTATGATCATAAGTATTGTATGTACGATCTCAAAGGGTACATACTATGCTGTTGTGAACCGTATGCATGGAAAGAACATGCCTGCATGTGCCGAATCCTGCAGCTCACATTGTGAGATGCAGGTCTCGGTCCGTGCAAGCTTGCGCAAGCAGCTTGCTGGCGTGTGTAGTCCAAGCTGTGCATAACTATATACATATACAGCCGCTAGGGATTCGATCGCTGGCTCCTTTTATAGGGTCCGTACTTAATCTCCCTGCGCAGGACGTTTTCGCGAAGCGCTACTCCTTTAAAACCCCTATGTTATGGAGAAAGAGCACGAGGTGAGCATGCTGTTCGAGTTCTTGAGCAAAGAGGAGATGGCTGATGAGCACAGCATGAGCCCGAACCTTGCACCCGAAAAAGCCCTATAATCTGCAAGTTGTGTTGGACATCGGGTTATAAGAATTTAAATTGCGGTCCTAAACCCTAAACCCCTACTCATGGGAGCTGTGGAACTATTGCAAAAATCTCCGGAACTATCGGCACATTCTTGAAAACTATACGCAGCCGTGTCCCTGAATAGATGAAAACTGCTCCGAGCCGTCAGAACTGCTTCGATGCGTCCCGGCACACCTCAAAAACCTGAACACGCCAAAGAGATCCTGAGATGCGAATTAAGGTTCTGATGGCCACTGCAGGCAGGACACACAAATCCCATTCTAACCACAACAGAAGCTACTCTAACTCATGTATTATATGAACTCATGTACTCTATGTACGATCTGGGAGGGCCCATAAGTGGTTAAACCTAAACCGAGTGTTCTGATGCACAGCTGTCTGCGAGGATCATCGTCATACAAACACACAACATGGGAACATAGTTTTCTAAACAATGCTTGGCCATCCAGTTATGTCAATGCAGCAATCGAAGCACTTGACAATGTGAGCCATCAAGCGCTGCATGGCCACAACTTAAAATGGTCTCCTCACAGCACCCTCGACCAACCGGGCGTCAGGGAGCTGCACTCTAATGGAACACATTGGAGGCGCAAAGAGCGCAGCCACGGGCTTCGGCAGACTCCCCTTGGCTTGGGTGCTGGTGTGTCTGGACTCTCCTGCCTCGCAAGCCACATCGAGGTGTCACCTCGGACGAAAAGCAGGAGTCACGAATACAATGTACATTGTGGGCATGCTGCGCGTGCCAGCCAAAGGCAAAATGGCGATGGCAGTTTCAGTTCAGGTCCAACCAAGAACGCGCAACACAAATCAACCAAGCACCAAATTGAGACCCGAAGCTTCAACCTTGCTCCCGCATGGACAAAAATCAGACATGCTCGCAACACAACCCAATCTGGCCTCGGCCTGCTCGTCCTAGAACCCCGAGGATCCGGTCGAGGATAGCCACAGGTGCACTACCAAACGATCTAGAACGCACGGAAGCACCAAAGTGACACCCGAAGCTAGAGACCGTGAGCGCCCAAATTGAGGGTCAGGCATTTCGCCACCTCTCTCGAGCGGCTGCAAGCAGCTCATGCAATGCTAGCCCACTGAACCGTAGCACTTTTGCCATGCAAGCTTGTGAGATCTTCAAATGTTGCACTCATGTCTGTGCTGTTGCCAGAAGGCGAGAGAGGGAGGGAGAGTGCCAGGAGATGAACGAAAAGGGGTACAGGGTCTACCCATAGGCCCTGGAAACAGCGGGACGTCATGATCCTTCGCGGTTTGTGGGGCTTTTGAAAAAGGGAGGTGGTTCACCCCAGGGACGTGCGCATCACAGCCCGGGGATCTGCCATCGACACCCCCGCGACCCTTAGGGTAATTACTTAAGTTAGTTTCGGGGGTTGGCGGATGTGAATAATTCAGATAAGATAATTCGGTGTGATTTATTACTTAAACTATTTTAAACAGGCCTGGGTGGCCCTTAGCCGGAAAATGGATGGGTATTTGAATCATGTAAATTATTTTCGGGGGTTGGCGGACTTAAATAAATCGAAATTTTTTAGATCCCCTCCCTTCGGGCTGCTCAGGACCACCCAAGCCTATTTAAAATGATTTCAATCAGTTTAAATAGTTTGAATCGGCCTTATTCAAACTGTTTGAAACATTTTGGGGGGGTTGGCGGATTTAAAATTTGAAACGAGCTCTATTTTCTTTAAGCTACTCAAATGATCTAAATTATGTTCGGGGGTTGGCGGATTTAGACAATGTAAATAATTGCAATCGGCCCTATTTTAACTATTTAGATTATTCTCGGGGGTTGGCGGATTTAAATAATGTAAATAATTTAAATCGGCCCTACTTTCATTTTGTAAATCACCTATGGTTAAATAGACCCTAAAAGGGGCCTCTCTCTCATATATATATATATATACATATATATATATATTATATGCATATGTATATATATTTATATTATATATATATATAGATATATATATATACATATACATACTCATATACATATATATATATGTATATTATATATAGATGCATATTTACAAACTTACCTCTGCGTCTCAGTATACAGATTATGAATGTCGTCTTCGCGGTTTCTGACAAGGGCTCACTGCGTTCAGCGAAGATGCGAATCTTCATCTTTTTGTTCGCAACAGCCCGCGCAAAGCTTCGAGCACTCACTCGCTTCTGCATCACGGGGGACAGCACAGTGAAAAACGATTATCGCGCCAAACTACTTGCGAGTTGTCAGCCGCTTTCGCTAGCCCTGAAAGTCCTTGACCTAGGTATGTATCGCCCCTGTCCACTGTTTCCAACATGTCAACATCACCGGAAGTGTTTCACGCAACAGGGGCGCCTATGGTGCACACACCTCATAACACAATTTGTATCGATACTTGTGATACTGAGTAGATAGTATAAAACTAGAGAAAAAAGTAGTAATAGTAGTAGTAGTCGTCGTCGTCGTCGTGGTGGTCGTGGGGGTGGTAGTAGTAGTAGTAGTAGTAGTAGTAGTAGTCGTAGGTAGT